GACACAGTGATCTGGCCTCAACCCATCACGGTCACGCACTGCTTCCCAGAACCTACGGTGCTTCCCAGGCCTGCTGTGGGGCCACAAGGGTCGCCCTGGGACTCTTCCTGTGCAGGGACACAGTGGGATTCGTTTCAGGGGCTAGGGCCAATGGGAGAAGGGCCGGGAGGCCCTGGAGGGTCAGGCCATCCCCTCCCCGTCCTCCTCACCAGCCACGGGGTGCAGCCTCTGTCCTCGCACCACGCCTGTCCTCATTGCCCGCTACGCCCCACGGTGAGGCCCTTCCCACCCACCAAGGCCCTTCGCAGCCGGCCTAGCCGTTCCCCCTTCTCTGGCTCTGGACCCTACTTCCATCCTCAGCACCCAGCAGCGAAGGGTGTCCACCCCTCCCTGCCCACCTCTGTGGAGAGGGCTGGCCCCCACCCCCTCCCATCCCGGGAAGATCTGCCTCCTGGAAGCCTCCCCTGATGTTGTCTCTGGAGTTAGCCACTCGCAGTTCACAGGACCTGCCACTGGGGGGGCTGGGAGGGCCTCGAAGGATGGGCTATTGTCACAGAGTCACTGTCCAGGAGTGTGGACGGACTGACGGACTCGAGGGTGGTCCTAGACAGCGGGAACGTTGGGGCTGAGAGGAGGGCAGGGTCCTGGGCCTCGGAGAGCAATCTGATACTGGACAGGGAGGGAGAGTGTGTGGGTGGATGAGGTGACGGTGAAGCTATGTGGACTCCCGGCAGGGCAGCTGCTCCTGCTCCCTTGGCCTGTCCCACAAGGGGCACAGCCTGTGGCCCAGGGGCCATGAGGTGAGGGCTGTGGGAAGGAGCAGAGCCGCCAAGCGGAGTGGCCTGGCAGGGAGGGCCCGGCCACGGTGGCAGCAGGTGATAGTGCCAAGGACACTGTGGCTCCCACTCAGAATAGCCCTGGCAGGACACCCGCCTCGCCCAGGGTGCCAGGGGGAGGGGTGGTGGGTGGGGATGCTGTCTCTGAGGGAAATCTAGGCTCCTGCCTGAGAAAGCCCTGAAGTGGCCAGGCCTGCACCCCGGCCCAGCCAAGGTTCTGGAAAGTTCTGGTGTCAGCCCAGGACTCTCTCATGTGGCTTCTGGGGACCCTGATTGGAAGACATTACAGCGTCCACATCAGTCTGGCCAATCAAGGAGCATTCCAGCCATACTTCCTCCAAGACAGATTTGTTCATTCTTTGGGCAGGTCTAGGCTCTGAGGACGTGGAAGTTCTCTGGTGTCAGGACCCTTAAATACCGGCCTCCATCAAAATACTCAGACTTGCCTTTTCTCCACCTCTACTGCCATCCCCTCCTCCAAGCCACTGTCACCCTGAGTCTGGGTAACAGCCACCCAGCCCTGTCCAGGGACTGTCGTCCAAGCAGTGGCCAGAGGGTCTTTTCAAAATGAAAACCTGAGCGTATCCGTGCCCTGTCCAGCACTGCTGGGGCCTCCTGAGGCTCTTGGAAGCAAGCCACATTCCTCAACGGGGCCCCAGGCCCCACACTCCCGTCCCTCCTCCCCCACATCACTCAGGGGTCTAGGCACTCGGCTGCCTCTGCCTGGCAGCCACCCAACTGGAAATGCTGTGCGGACCCGCCCAACCATGCGCTCCCGGCCCTCAGCACTGGAGGCCTGCCCTGCCGGCCCCTGCCAGCCAGGCCGGCCCCTGGAACCTGTGGTCCTGGTGTGCGGCACTTTCTCTGCCAATCACTGCTGTTAGGGGCCACGGAGTCGATTCCGACCCTGTGACGAGCAGGACGTCCCAGATGGTTTTCTTAGCTGCTATCTTTACAGGGGCAGACCACCAGGTCTTCCTCTGGTGGAGTGGCTGGTGGGTTCGAATCACCGACCTTCTGGACAGCAGCCAAGCACTTAACTATTGCATCACCAGAGCTCCTGGCAGTCTCTAACTACACATGTTTATGTGGGTGTCTTCTCTACTAGATACAAGAGCCTGGGGCCAGGGAAGGCCTGTATTCACCTGTCTCCCCACTGTCCCAGGCAGGAGCTCAGAAAACACAGCAGTTAAGTGAATGGATGAACCCATTTCTGACTTAAAGATATAGAGAGTGAGGCCCCTAAGGGTTGTGGTGGACCCAGACTCAGGCATTCTTTTGGCCGTGGGGGTTCAGGTAGCTGAAGCCAAAGGGCTGAGCAGGAGCCGCCTTGGTCAAGGAGCCAACTCTTTCTGGAGAAGCCACAGGAACCACATGTGGGGTTTCTGGCCTGGTGGCCTGATGTTCTGACAGCTTCCTCAGCACCCTCAGGCGTGGGGTGGGAGGGGGAGGGGGGACGAGTGCTCCTTGGGCCGCCAGGGGATGAGACTGGGCTGCCCTCAAGTCCCTCCCAGTGGCTTCCTCTGTGTCACTCAGGGCCTGGCCCAGCAGCTTGGCTCCTGGTGGCTGCCCCTCATCTTGGACTCCACATTCCTGGGGTCCCCGCCCCCCGGTTCTGGGTCAGCGCTGCACCTCTGGGCCAGTAACACCCTGGAGGGAGAGCTGTGCGACTTTACACCAAGCTGGCCCAGGCTCCGTGGCAAACGTCGCACCTCTGTGCAAGTCCCCCGGGCTGGGCACACACGCCTGCAGCCTCTTCGTTGGCCAGGGGCCCCTGGCAGTTGAGGGAAGACTCAGGTGCCACCAGCTGCCACCACCACTGGAATGCACCTCGGCTATTCACAGGCCCAGGGAAGGCTCCCGCAGAGCTTGATTTTCAAATAAACCAGTGGAAGCCTTGTAATTTCTGTGTCTAATCACTCAGTTCTTCCCAGCTTGGCAGCCTGCTAGCTGGCGAGGAAAGAGGAGCTGTCGGCTGTCTGCTTGTTTGGACAGCTTCAAAAGCCCACTTCACACTATTCAAACTCACCTGCAGCCTGTGCTCTCAGGCTTTCCAGCCCCTGGACGGCAGGAAGTCTACTTCCTCGCCCCTTGCACGCTCCACCCTCTAGTCTGCCCCTTCCCGGTGGGGGGGCCTGGAGACCGGGCCTTGCCCTGCCTTGTATTGAGGCCTAACTCTGGCCTGAAGGCCACAGCTTCTTGTTGTTAGGGGCCATCGAGTCAGCTCTGACTCACAGTGACCCCAAGCACAACAGGACTAAACACTGCCTGGTCCTGTGCCAGCCTCACAGTGCCCACTATGCCGGAGCCCTTCGTTGCAGCCACTGTGTCAATCCATTTCCTTGAGGGGCTTCTCCTTCTTCACTGACCCTCTACCAAGCAGACACCCTTCTCCCCTCTGCCAGGGACTGGTCCTTTCTGACAGCAGGACTATGGCAGGCGAAGGCTGGCCAATCCAAGGAGCTTTCCCGCTCACCTCCTTCAACACAGATTCGTGCATTCCTCTGGCAGCCCACGGTACATTCAGGATTGCTCACCAACACAATTCAAGCGCATCACCTCTTCCTCAAATGCATCATCACTTCTTGGTCGTCTCCAGCTCCTACATGCATGAAGTACTGAAAAGACCATGGCTGGGGTCCGGCCGGCCCTCTTTAGTCTCCATAGCGACACCTTCACCCTTTAACCAAGGCCTTCGCAGCACATTTGCCCAGGGCACTGTTTCATTTGATTTCCTGACTGATGCTCCTCTGGCTGTCGATTATGGATCCAAGTAAACTAAAATCCTGACAACGCCAATCTTTTCGCCCTTTATCATGTCAGGGCTCACTGGTCCAGTTACGAGGACTTTCGTTTTCTTTCTGTTGAGGTGTAATCCATACTGCAGACTGTACTGTTCAATCTTCATCACTACGGCCTTCAAGTCATCCTCACGTTCAGCAAGCAGCTTGTGTCATCTGTGTCTCGCAGGTTGTTAATGAGTCTTCCTCCGATCCTGATGCCACGTTCTTCATATAGTCCAGCTTCTCGGATTATTTGCTGGGCACACAGATTGAATCAGGATGGTGAAAGGATACAACCCTGATGCACTCCCTTCCTGATTTTAAATCATGCAGTGTCCCCTTGTTCAGTTTGAACAACAGCCTCCTGGTACAGGTAATGGACAGGTCTATGTACAGGTCTATGAACAGATAGTAATGATATTGTTTGGTAATTTCCACATCCTGTTGGATCAATTGTCTTTGGAATGGACACAAATATGGATCTCTTCCAGTCAGTTGGCCAGGTAGCTAGCTGTCCTCCAAATTCCTTGGCACAGATGAGTGAGTGCCTGCAGCACTGTCCTGTTTGTTGAAACATCTCAATGGGTTCCATCAAGTCCTGGAGCCTTGTTCTTTGCCAATTCCTTCAGTGCAGCTTTCACTTCTCCCTTTAGTACCATTGGCTCTTGATCACAGGTGGCCTCCTGAAATGGCTGGATGTCAACTAATTCTTTGTGGTACAGTGACTGTGAGTATTCCTTCCATCATTTTTGTCTGTTTGTTTCCTGCATTGTTCAATATTTTGTCCATACAACTCTTCAGTATTGTAACTCAAGACTTGAATTTTTTCCTCAGTTCTTTCAGCTTGAGAAACGCCGAGCGTGTTCTTCCCTTTCGGTTTTCTAACTTCAGGTCTTTGCACATTTCATTACAGTAATTGGCTTTGTTTGCTCGAGCTGCTCTTTGAAATCTTCAGTTCAGCTCTTTTACCTTGTCATTTCTTCCATTTGCTTTAGCTACTCTCCATTCAAGAGCAAGTTTCAGAGTCTCTTCTGATGTCCATTTTGGTCTTTTCTTCCTTTCCTGTCTTTTTAGTGACCTTGTGCTCTCTTCATGGATGATGCTCTTGATACCATCCCACAACTCATCTGGTCTTTGACCATCGGTGTTCAATGTGTCAGATCTGTTCTTGCGATGGTCTCTAAATTCAGGTGGGATATACTCACAGTCATATTTTGGCTCTTGTGGACTTGTTTCCATTTCCTTCAGCTTCAGCTTAAACTTGCATTTGAACAACTGATGGTCTGTTCCATGGTTTCTGGCCTTGTTCTGAGTGATGATATTGAGTTTCTCCATCATCTCCTTCCACAGATGTAGCTGATCTGACTTCCGTGTACTACATTTGATCAGGTCCATGTGTACAGTCACCATTTATGTTGTTGGAAAAGGGTATTTGCAATGGGTAAGTCATTGGTCTTACAAAATTCTATCATGTGGTCTCCAGCGTCATTTCTGTCACCTACCCTGTGTTTTCCCACTATCAATGCTGCTTTGTTTCTAATTTCCAAATTCCAATTACCTATAGCAGCCAAACAAAAGATAGGCCCGCAAGGTGATGACAGCACCAGGCAGGTATGCGTCCCTTAGAACGGCCAATCACATGAGATCGTTTGCCCACAGGCGGAGCTCAGAGTGCAGGAAGGGACAGAAGAGAAGGATGAACGGAAGTGGGAAACCGCGGGAGGAAGTGGGAAGAGGAACGTTGTGTGACCTTGTGTAACCTTGTGCAACAATGTAACTGTTCCACTGTGGGGACTGCAATCAACGTCATGCATCAAGATGTATATGAACTGTTCAATGGAAAACCAAATTGCTCTGTAAAATTTCACCCAAATCACAATAAAAAGACACCTCTGAACGGTTCAACCCGCTGGTTATTTGATGCCAGAACCGTTTTTTCTTGACCAAACCCCAAACAGAACCCGACCCTCAGACCTCGTGTGTCACAGGGCGGACCTGCTCCCAAGGGTTTCCTTGGCTGTGATCTTTACAGAGGCAGGTCCCCAGACTTTTCTCCCGTGGCACTGCTGGCTGGGTTTGAACCACCAACCCTTTGATTAGTAGCCAACTGCAAACCTTCTGTGCAACACAGGGACCTATTTCTTGCCCAGGACTTTAAGAATAAACTGGGGAACCTGGGTTCTCTTGAACCTTGTTGGGCATTGCTGGTGCTGACCCTTCTCTTTGTGGCCTCTCCAACAGAAATATGAGAGACCCTGGAGGCCCCTGTTCCTGCCCCCCGACCCAGACCACTATGCCCCAGTGGTGCGATGCACCGGGCCCCTCAGCCCTGCCTAGCCTGGCTGTGACACCACTGCACTCACTGACCTTTGCACGTCTTCCCATCCGGCTGCAGCGTGAATCCGACAGGGCAGCTGCAGCGCACGCCAGTGGCCGTGTCCTTGCACGTCCGGTCACAGCCTCCGTTATTGACAGCACACGTCTCTGGGAAGAAAAGGACAGACACGCTTAGCACCTCCAGGCAGCAGCCACTGCCTTCCCCATGGCGGACAGAAGACCCAGGTTCCAGTCCTGCCTCTGATACTCTCTAGCTGTGGCGCCCCGGGGGAGCTGGCCGCCTCTCTGAACCTCAGGCTACCCATCTGGGAAATGGAGTTGCTGGTGAAGACCTAACTTGGCGACAGATGGGAAAACGGCTTGCAAACCGTCAAGGGCTGTGCAAGCGGAAAGGTTACTGCCAACAGGGTCAAAATCACTATTTGAGGGCCAGGCTCGTACACTGTTGCCCTGACTGCACACAGGCTCCAGGTCCAGCTTGGGGACTGGGCAGCTAGTGGGGTTCACTGTATCCCCTGGGTATGGGATGGCCATGGCCCTGGCCACAGGTGGAGGGAAAGGCTTCCGGAGCCTGCGACCATCCGTCACCTGGATGAGGTCTCGGTCCCACATCTGTTGTCACTGAATGGCAAACTGAGCCCCTGGCATTTGTCCGTATGAAGCCCGTCCACGACTGTACTTTTTACCTCCCTTCATAACTTGAAAGGGGTCAAGAGGAATAGGGCCTAACTGAAGTCACTAAACCCATCGAACTGGTGCTGAGTACGTCTGAGGCCCCCAGGACGGGGAGGGGCACGGAGCCAGATCACCCGGCAGCTCTCCCTGTGGACCTGGTGTGCTCTGCTCTTGCGGGGACTGAGTGGGCCGCCCTGTCTCTGCTGCTGGGGAGTCAGGAGCCTCCTGCAGCCACCTTGCGTAATCTGTGACTCTCCCTGCCTGCCGCCCTGGCTTCAGCTGGCACCCACCCTGGCGGCCCCTCTCCCCGAAGGGTTTCCCTCTGGGTTTAACTGTTGGCGTCTGTCCTCCTGCCCACTGCCTTCTGCCCCAGGGAAGAGTCTGGGATGAATGAATGCAGGAGTGAATGACTAAGTGACATCCACCCCCAAGTGCCTGGAGTCCTGCTGTTACCAGACCAGACCCCTTCCTTGGAACTTCAACTCTGGGAGGGGGTGGTTGCGTAGGGAGAGGAGGAAGCCCAACGTTCCCTCTGTGTGTGTGTGTGTGTGTGTGCGCGCGTGTGCCTCTTTGGGTTTTGTGGGCTGGCAGCAGGGCGCTACCACCTGCCCTTCTCCTCACCACAGGGGATTAGCTGTGACTGTTTGTTGGGTCAAGCTGATTCCGACCCACGCCGGCCCCACACGTGCAGAGCAGGTCCGCTCTGCAGGGTTTTCAAGCCGGGACCTTTCAGAAGCAGAGTGCCTGGCCTGCCTTCTGAGGTGCCCGGGGTGGGTTCAAACCACCAACCTTCTAGCTAGTCAATGAGCATTTAACCGCTTTCACTACAAATGTCCTTCCCTGACTCTTGCACAGAGGCGTATCTAGGCTGGGCGGAGCACCCAGGACGCAAGGTACACACAGGTTTACTTGTGCCTACTTAGTAATCTGTAGTGAAGTTTCACGTTATTTCACCAGATCAGTAAGCAAGCACACGTAAACCTGTGCTTACCTTGTGTCCTGGGTACTCTGTCCCAGGCAGGGATCATCAATGTGAAAAGAGGCTTTGACTCTGTAGGAAGGGGCTGTGGGGTGCCAGCCCTACACAGAAGCAGAACCTTTGATGCGGTGACAACATGTGGCATGGTTCAGTACAGATGAGTAAGTAAGCACAAGTGAACCTGTGCTTACCTTGCTTACTGGGTAACTGGCACTGTAGCGTGAGCCTGGCAGGTGGGTACAAGCCCTGGGAGCCCCTTGATGACGGGTGGAGTAGGGGTGGGGCAATGAGCAGCTTCTATTTGGGGGCGGTGCCAAAGAGCCAATGAGCAATTCCTATTGGCCACCGCAGCTCCCACGGCCAGCAGTGAGAGACCACTGCACAACTGGAAACGAACTGCCCAGGCACGTTTCTGCAGTTTCGCCTCTGCTCTTGCTGGATCTGACTGCCAGTGTCTCCACAAATCCCGAACTTCCAGCTGGGGGAGGCAGTGTCTTTGACCCAATTGCACACTTCTGCACCCCCTGCCTTTCAGGGTCCAGTTGGGGAAGCCCCCCCCCCCCGCTCATCCCTTAAGGCCCAGAAAGACTGCCCACGGGGGACCCTTCACGCCAGCACAGGTAGTCCCTAAGGCACTTGTCAGCTTGTGGTGGCCCGTCTACTGGGTGGGCCTGGTGGGGGTCCCACTGCCCCCCATGGGTGACCCAGGCAGGCCCCAGCACCGGGTCTTCCCTCCCAAGATGGGGTGAGGATCAAATCACTCACCGCTGGCAGGAAGCACTCCCAAATGGGTGCTTTCTGTCCTGGGCTCACACTCAGAGGGGACTCCCGGGCCCCCCCTGAAATCAAAGAATCCACCTACGCCCCCAAGTGCCTGTAAGCCTTTCATGTGGGGAGCTCCCCCTGACCCCACAAGAGGGAGGCAGAGGACCAGCTGGAGCTTCCGGAAGGTGGAGGGCACAAGCAAGGACAGCCTTCCTCAGTGATGGTGGTGGGGTTGGAGGGCACAGGGCAGTAGGTTTGTGTCCCTGAGAAATGGACCCAGTCAAACAGGCTCCAAGGGACTCTTCCCTTCCTGAAGGCCCTGAACTCAGGAATCTGTTGCCCAGGCCTGAAGGGGTCTCAGGGGTCTCCCGACCCAACCTGTCCCCTGCTCAGAACAAGGTCGAGGATGGATGTGCGTGGGACCAGCCGGGCACTGGTTCTCTCGACCCGTGGAGGAGGACCTCTCCCTGCTGCATGGTGCTCTCTCTGCCCCACCAATGGTTGGTGCCTGAGCTTCAGTTTGAACAGGGGGCTCTGGACTCTGGGGAGGGACCTGGGTACTGACAGGTACTGACAGGCCCACCTCACAGCAGCCCTGTCAGCCTGCGACTCCTGAGCTCTCCACTGCTCTGACAGGCCTTGAGGCCCTGAGAGGCCATGGCCCCAGCCTGAGGTGAGGCCACAGAGCTGGGCAGGACCAGCTCCAAGGCCAGGGCTCCCTGGGCTCAGCAGCCACAGCACAGCCTTAGGTCTCAGTTTCCAGCCAGCTCCAGCTCCAGGCAGGCACCATCAGACACTCACTGCAGCCTCGGACTCAGCCCTCCTTCTCCCTCCCCTACGCGGCTCCTCCCCCAGCACTCCCTGCTCTGTGAACAGCACCCCGTCTGCCCAGTGCTCCCCGCTCTGCGAATGGTTCCCCATCTGTCCAAGGCCGAGTACCAGGGGTCCCTGCCCCCACCCAGCCATACCCAGGCCCTGGCCTTCCGACTTCTGTCTCCTGATTCCATGCTATCCTGGGCCCGGCCACCACCTCTGCCCGTGTGGCTGCCACACCTCTGATGGCCCCTCCACCTGGGCCACTGTCTTCATTCTGAGTAGGTGGGGGACTTGTTCTCAACCAGAGATGTGGCGGGTCACTCCTACCTCCTTCAGGCTCACATAAGGATGCTAACAGCTCTGTCACCCAGGCTTCCTCGATGCTGTGCAGGGCAGAGCCTGTCATTAGGCCTCCCCCTGGGCTGTGGGACCACCAGCTCATCCCACCTTGGCATGGCTCCCCTCTGTGACACAGGGGTGGAGGGCCCTGCCTTGCCTGTCCACCTCTGAGGTCAGAAATCTAAATTGTGATGTGTAATCCTTGTGGAAAGGGTGACAGTGGAACCCAGCCAGGACCCCGGGGCTGCAGTCTACAATTACAGGACACACCTGAGTGCCTTGCCCAGGGTATGGGGGGTTCCAGGCGACTGGGTGCTACTGAGGCGGCTTCTTTCCCCCAACCCTAAAGCCCTCGAATCTCTATTTCCTAAGAACCGAGGCCACTTAGAGCCAGTCTTGGGCCATCCTGGTCTCACAGAGCTGCACAAAGCAGATCCCCACTGCTTCCCTACAGTGGGGAGCCTTGACCATGGGACCACCCCGAATGCAGGGAGCCCATGGGGGCTGGGGCCCTGGAGAGATGAGGGTGAGGCTCTGGGCCCAGCAGATGGACCTCCTCCTCACCCCATGGCCCCCGCTCCCGTCCTCCCATGAAACAAGTTCCCAGAGCTGGGGCAGGAGGCAGCCCTGTGAGCACACCCCATCCTGAAACACCCCGGGAGATGGAGCGAGGCCTATGGGAGGGAAGGAGGTGGCAGAGAGGACCTCCCGGACACTGTCTGTCCCGGGGTGGTCCTGAGGCTTTCCTTTCTAGCCCACCACTCTCTCTCCTTGTAACCAGGCGACAGCTTCCGGGTCTTTCTAAAGGGGTCCCCGCTGCACCTGGGGAAATGGTCCAGCCCTTCATAGGTGACAACAGCCCTCCTCACCCACTCCTCCATGCGCCTTGCAGCAGCCCTGGGAGGAGGCCTTTCACAGGTCGAGAGACAGACCCAGAGAAGTGAAAGATGAACCCGCCCGGGACTGGCTACAGCCTTTGCTGGGTCCAGGGTCAAATGAAAATGCAGAGCCCCTTGTTAAACAACCGTTCAGGACCTCAAGACCGAGAAGCAGAGCATTAAACCAATCACAGGCCCTTCTAGTGGGGGGCTCTGTGGACCCCCCAGGTCACATTCCCGTAAGGCTGGCCCTGCGTCCCGGTCACACAGCTAAGGGGAAGGCCAGCACTTAACCCAGGGTGTGACACTCCGGGCAGATGAGTGACCCAGCCAGGCCAGAGAGCCAGGGAACCTCAGCCAGCGAGCCTCGGCCAGCGAGTGGGAGAATGGTCCTACCCTTAGGCTGGGATGGAGGAGGAGAAGGCAGACCAGATGTGGGGACAGGATTCCTGGTGAAGGGTCCTGCACAGAACCCCTTTACCAGCAGGCAGGAGGGCCAGTCAATCTGAGAGGCCTTCTTGTTGGTTTGTCCCCGTGAAGTTTGTGTCTGGGCCGGGGAGGCGAGCCACCCCCAACTAATCCCTGCCATGAGGCTGGGCCAGGGCTCTGACAGGGAGGCCAGAGGGGACGGTCTGGGACAGTGTCCACCGAGGCGCCGTGGGATACCGTGAAGCACGAAGGCTGGGAGCCTCCGG